TCCTCCGTGTCGCTTGCATCGAGGGGTATGATGACTGGCTCGAGGTTCTACTCTGGGACATCACATTCTCGAAACATCGCCTCCATTTTTTCACATGCTCTACACAGTCATGCCAATGGACAGCTGTTACGTTGTCCACTGCTTCCTTCAAGAGCCGCTCGGCGTCATTGGGATTGAATGTGATGTTCTTGGAGGCGACCTCCTGTTTGACTCGTGCCCATATCAACTCTATGGGATTTAGTTTGCAATGGTACGGAGCCTCAACACTGTGTGTCCGGCGTCCGTAGCCATGACAGCAACTTTGTACTTTGTGTAGCGATCCTTCACCGTTGCCACGATGCTCAGAAGGTCTTTTTTCTTCATTGTGGCAGTCCAGTCTAGGTTCTTGGAAGAGAGCCACTGCTGGATCTCGCCCTTCTTTGTTGCAGTTGTTGCAACTGTTTCAGCCTCTCTGCTGTGGTGTGGGGCAGTGTCTATAAAATTACGCTGTTAGGCTCGATGTGGTCCAGCAGATGAAGAAACCATGCTTCAAACCTGTTCGAGTCCATTTCATCGTGGTAGTCCCCCTTTTTCTTCCCACGGAACACGTCCAGGCAGCCGGACACGAAGCCAGTGTCACCTGCGTGGGTGACAATCACTCTTTCACCTTTTCCAGAAGGAACCTTTAGCCCGGTCGTCAGTCTAGACATGAAGGCTTGCCTTGCTGACTTTATGGTGCTGTCAGTCCACACCTTGTCAACTGTAAGGCCGGCGTTCTCCCAAGTCTCGTCCTAGAAGTAGATCTTGCGGTTCTGGGCTCTGTGCTTTCCGATTGCCCTCAAATACCGCCGCCTCCACTCGACGATGTCCTCTCTCTCAATTAGGAAGGAGTTGCGATTCCGTTTCTGTTTCTCGAAACCCATGTCCTTCAGCAGACGATACAGGGTAGACCCGGAACAGGACGGCAGCACGTCGTGTTCTTGGAGACGAGCGGCGATCTTCTACAACGTTGGAATCTCCCCCCGACGGAAGAAATTGTGCAGGCAGCTTCTCACGGCCGTCAAAGTGCACGCATCGTGATTGGAAATCCTCTTCCTTTTCTCAGCGAATTTCGGGCGCTTCTTTGAAGGAGATTTCACAGCTCCGTTGGCACGTTTGAACCACGCCTGATCTCGTAGACCGAGCTAACACTGATCCCCGTTGCGGCGGCAGTCAGGTTGACGACGTCCGCCACATTTTTTTCTTGGTACTGCCGCCGCATCCAAGAATAAACGTTCAAAACACACTGCCTTGTCCAGCTCGACAGTACATTTCCACTTGCGTGACGTTTGTAGTATACCCGAGGGGAAACGCCTTCAGGAAAGAGTGCTGACATCAAGGACCTATCAGCCAGAGTTGTTGGAGTCGCCATTTTGGTAGGCGAGAAACAGCGGCTGGCCGGCTGGCTACGAACATCGATCCTCAGATCTTGTGAGGCGTTGAATTACGTGAATACACGCGTACTAAGGAGGTGTAATATTTATCCTACTGAGAATAACAAATTTATTTAAGCTTAAATAACGCTAGCTTCCCAGAGAGCAAACTTTTATCGGAACTACTTCGCAGAACGGAATAATATGTGAGACGGCATGCGACCAATAAGCATGTGACGAGAGGGACACACCCACTTTTTTCTTAAGGTGAAAACGAGCATAGTTAGAATCACTGGCATGAATGGCAACAGTCCCCCGGTCATCGGGACGCCGTTGCTCGGTCATAGGGTGCACGAATAACGACAGAAAGCGTCGAATACTGCCAAAGGACCTCGTAGCTTGCATGGAATCCGGCAAAGCAAGTGCGACTGCAATGTTTTGAAGCTCCACCGCTTTCCGCATGACTAGAAATGATGAACCATTCATAAATCTTTGCTTGGAATAGGCCTATCTAAACGTAGCCGTTTTTAGTAATGAACAAGCGATACACGAAACCGGAACCTCAATTAACTTTACACCCAGAGCTGCTACAGATCGTTTTGCTGCGCTGCCTTTATCGCGCGTATCTGTGTTCTTATATCTCCTTGTGGATGAGCGACGAAGACGTTCTAGATGTACCTATATCGAACTGCAGAAAGCCTCAAAGCAGCCACGAGTTATTTTACTATTTTATGCAATATTTTGAGTACTAACCTCCAATTTCTATCGCTGACACGTTCGCTGACACGTTCGCTGCCGCTGTTCCCCTGTCGCCGCACTGGCGGATGCCATGACTCGAACAAAGAAACGTGCAGATCGCAACACACGAGACGCACCCTGCAGCGACTATCCCGCGCTTTAAAGCGCCTAATCAACAAAAACAACCCACCATCGACACTCCAGGGAGCGCTTTTGCCGGCTCTCTGTTATCGCGCAGGAGATCGCGATTCAGGAAAACCGATAGGACTACCTTTTCAGCAATTTCTAACCTCACCCGGCGGCGGAAATGAGCCTTCAACTAAGTGTTGTAGAGGATAAAACCGAATCAGTCACTACTGCAAATTATCAATATTAAGATAAATTCAGTAACAAAATTTTACAAGCTGAATCAGCAATTATCACGAGAAAACTGGCACGCACCTTGCGAGCGTGCCCCATGTTCATCGGCGGTACAGCGTTCGGTGCGCGCTCCATTCACAAAACGTTCCGAGCACAGTCGAGAGGATGGCGTTTAGGAAACGTCTTTTCGGTTTACGGACGCAATCCACCGCAGCCAAGACTGGGGTCATGGGGAAAGCGGTTGCAGCCGCTATCGCCTTGCCGGATTCCTTGCAAGCTACATAGGCCCTCGGGCAGTATTTGACGCTTTCTGTCGTCATTCGTGCACCCTATGACCGAGCAATGGTGTCCCAATGACCGGGGGACTGTTGCCATCGAAGCCCGTGGCTCTAATTAAGTTTGCGAGTTCAAAACAGAAAAGAAAGCGCGAACAAAGTCGGGGCACAGCAGACACCCAACACCGGCCAAGCCTCTCATCCGGGACTTTCACTCTTTCTACACAATCAGAAAGGAGGAAAGCGCCGGTAGCCCTTTTCCTTTTTCTCTCTCGCCCTCTTTCAGTAAAACGGTCTATAGTGTGCGGCGAGCGGTCGCAGCCAAGACCATCTGGTGTTGGCTGCGCGAACTAAAAAAAAAAAGCGAACTGATTAACGAATTGGACTCCTCCAGTACCTTTTACACAGAGAAAAAACATTTTACAGCGTGAACGCGCTTGAAACCAGAAAGCGCGATCAGCTGGCACGCACCCAGGGATGTCAGAAGAACCCGACGAGGTAGGCGGACCGAGTTTTTGTGTCGCTTAGTGAGAACGCCTCTGACTAGGCGGCGCTAAAACTAGTCCCTCAGCCGGGAGCAGGCGCTTTCATAGGAAGCGCTCAGATGGAACGGTCGTAAGTATAGAGTAGAGCACTATATAGCTCCTACGGAGCGAAGGAGCTATATAGTGGTCTAGTATAGAGTTGGTCGTGGTCTTTACATCCGAGGTAGAGCCACTAAATGAGCTACGCTTAGAGTATCGGCACTCCGTTCCCCGACATTGTTGTGGGTGCCGCCATTTTGGCTCGTATGCAGAGCAGACGCAACTGACGATCATCATGATTCAAAAGTGCGACTTCCTCGGCATTCGGTTCGGTGTTAGAAAGGTTATGTAACATTGCTTTGCTCTGCCGCGAACTGTTTGAACATTTGTGGAGGGCGGAAAAACGCTTCCTGTGATTTCAGATAAAGCTTCAGATAACTGGCAACCATGATTTTAAGACACAATATGGCCAAGTGACGTTACTCTGAAGCGTAGCTTATTTAGTGGCAGTAATCCGAGGAAGGCGCTGCCCATGACGGTGTCAAGGATGATCCGAGGTTTCATCCTCTGCGACAACAAAGTTAAAAAAAAGAAGACATACACATATAAGACGAAGGTTTATTTAGTATTTTACACGCCTTTTTATTTTATTAAGGTGAAATTAAATGGGAAACTGAAAACTGAGGCATTAAAATTGTTGTTAAAAGCCGCTGTGCCGACTATGCGCATCTGCATGCTGCAAGCAACACTGGCCATCGCAACGGCAGAAAACGCTCATGTGAAATGTGTGAAATGAAACCTAGCGATCTGTGCCGCCGCGCCGCTAGAGGCAGCGATTTCGGCCGCGGAGTCGCTGCATGTGAAACCCGCTTTAGATTCGTCGTGTGCTAGCGTCCGCTGCGATTCGGGTGTTTTGTTGCTACGCAGCTAAGTGTCGCCTCCGATATGCTCTCCTTAAAATACTTTTGAAAGGTAAACTATATTGGTTTTGGACTTGTTGTCCACGCAATGCTTCAGTCGTCGTCGTCATCGTCGTCCGGAACGGCGCAGAGGGATACTTTCTTCTCTTTTCTTTCTCGCAGAAACGTGCCCCCTGATGTCTCCGGGAACAAAGCAGTGTGTTTGCCGTTTAGCCATCGCAGGCGTAGACGCATGGGGCCATCTCTACAGGAAGAGCATTGGTGAAAACACGTTCTGCATACAAGAAGGGTCCGTTCGTGTCGACAAAACGCAGCTTTGTGCGCAGAGCGAATTCGTCTGCTGCTCTTTCACGGGTTGTGGTGACGTCAGAACGCCGATCTCTGATGGGTTTTCTGATTGAAGTATAGTGGGTAGACCTCAAGGCGCCTTCGTTTCAGGTCCACATGCTATTCCTCAATCAGAGCCAATCAGAGGTCGGCGTCCTTCTGACGTCACCGCAACTCCTGCGCAAGAAGCAGATGACTTGCTCTCCATATAAGAGAAACAAAATTTTTTGCACAAAAGAACCGTTGAAGAACGGCATATTCCGAAAAAATGTCAAACCGCGGTGCAAATTTAAAAGAAAAACAAACACAAGGTGGACACAATTTCAACAAAATTTTGTCAGTGACACCCGTGATCGACCAATATCATCTAGAACAGTGGTTTTCAATTGTCGATGTTTTGGGGACCCCTCGTAGATCGGCTGAGATGATGGAGGACCCCGTTCGCGTTGAGGGGAAGGAAAAGGTATAGGTTAAGTATGATAATGATTTAATAAAAGGATATAACTAAGGGCTGCTGTGAAGTAGACTTATATCATTGACATCACGAGAAAATTCACCAAAATTGGAACGTTTCTTCTCAAATAAAAAAAAAAAAAAAACTTTTATTTTTGGGCTTGACTGATGAGGGAGAGCTTCGCAGACCCCTGGAATGCCTTCGCGGACGCCAAAGGGTCAGCGGACCCCCATTTGAGAACCACCGATCTAGAAGACAAGGATTGGGCATGACGACATTGTCGGTGGCTTTAGCAGGTTTGCCGCCCCAAGCGGCAAACCTGCTAATGCTCGACGACAGTTGCCGCAAAGCTCCACACTCGCCCGTCTTGGTTTCAGCACGTAGTATAGTTCTTTTCACCAAAGTCCGGATGCAACCGACGCCACGAGTTTATAGGACCATTCAAACAGCTTAAAGGAAGCAAGTCACTGGGCCTTCTCTGCACATGCTTGGTTCAGCAATGACAGAACACGTACTCTAACACGACGAACGTGATCTTGGTGCGCTCTTGAAGTAGTTTATTTGGCCCCATCGTCGTGTTCGTTGTTAGATGCTCCAAGGCTTACTGGCTGCGAAGGTGATGCAAAGTAGGTGGCTCTGGCTGGATCCACCGGTGATAACGTTTGGTGAGCAACGAGGCAGGCTTTGTCTTCCAGGTGGTATCTGATCGACAGAGCGGGATTATGGAGCGAGAGACAACTCTCTCGCGATGCGGGACAATCCGGTTGTGGTGGAAGTGGTCGCTGCAGATGCTGCCGAGGCCAGGTCTTGCCCTCATTCCGTCAAGTGCCAGAGGTTAACAGTGCCGGATTTGAAGTGAGAACGCGAACTCGGGCTTCTCGAATCGATGAGACGCAGCTTCATACCTTTCCCCGCTGTTAACGAAACATGAAAAAGAAAGACAAAGGAGTCATTAAACTAGTTTGCTGTTCTCGCTGGTGCAGTGAAAGTGAGCTGGAGCTATTGCATGCGCGAGAAAAAAAACACCATCCATACATGGGGATAACGTTTCTTGGCAATGAAGCGAAAGCTATGCGCAGAGCAAGTCGTCTGCTTCTTGTGTGGTATTTCCACTGACGTCAGACCGATGCCGAGCTCTGACTGGCTTTGATCGATGGCTTTGATGGTGGGTAGACCTCAATGCTAGATACCTTAAGGTCTACCCACTATTTTGTTTCAATTAGCCAGTAAGAGCTCGGCGTTCTGACGACATCGCAACCCCTGTGCAGGAAGCAGGCGAACTTTTGCTCCGCATTGGTGCGCGTGCGCTCGCGCACATTGTACGCCGATCACGGCTGCGCTTGCGCGGTCCTCGCTTCTTCGTACGTTAACAAAAAAAAAAAAAAAAAAAAGGATTTGTTGCCGAGTAGCGAAGACAAGGGCTGGTCCCTCGCAACACCGCCGAGAAGACAATGCCGTAGTGCCGACATTTTCGCGTCACAGCGAAGGCCAACGCTGGACACAGATTGGAGAGGAGTGCCGCGTCAGCGCTCGGCTTCTAGTCAAATTTAAACCGAACGTTGCCGCAATCGTCGTGTCCAATCTGCCCCCAGCGTTGGTCTTCGCTGATGACGCCATCTAATTCAGCACTACGGCTTTGTTATCTAGGAAATAATGTGCTGTGACCCCCCCCCCCCCCCTCCCGAAACATCATAATTAGTGAATTGACGCCGCGCTGCCTACCTCGCGTCAGCTCCACCTTTAGAGCACCTAGCAGCCTCTCACGATGAGCGCGACATGTACCCAGTTCTGTAGTGTTTGATATTGCTGAAAGTTTGGGAGCTTCCAACAGAGCACAAGAACGACCTGTTTGGAAAAACCGGCCTGCTAGAGTTCCTGTATCCACAGAATAACCCACAACTCGAAGAGGGTAGCCTCCAGGTTCGGAGTCAATGTAGCTAAATCTGCTCCCGAAAAACTCAAGACGCTGTGTCCCAAGGTCAATTTCGAGAAGCATCTACAAGCCCAATGCAGTGTTCACCACATACACACGTGTGTCACCTGCCGTATAGGGGTCTTCTATGAGATTCCGCTATCCTGTGACAAAGTGTATGTTGACCAACCTGGTCGGTGTGTCAACATCAGTCTACGTGAACACGCCCTTTCGCTGAAATCATCTCCGGCAGGACACCTCGCCCTACATATCCGAGACTGCAAAGTTCTGCAATATCCGAGACTGCAAAACGAGAATCCACAAGCAAAACCACAACCCGAGAGCCAGGGAGATTTATGAGGCTCATATTATCAAAACCAGAGGGGACGCTTGCATTAGCCCACCGTCAGTAGCCTTATCTGTCAGGGAACTCCAATACTTCAATTTGTTTTAAAACGCTGGAAAATTTTTCAGTTTTCCTCTCTCTCAGATTTTTTTTTAAACGTCTTCTTTCTTTTTCTCTAATTTTTGTTCCCACATTTTTTTTCTTATTTTCTTTCTCTAGACTCATTTCCCTGGTCCTGTTTTTCTTCATAGCTTTTCATAAAAAGAGGTATATTTTTTTCCTTAAAAATTTTGTTTGACAGCAACCTTCCTCTTCCTTATCTTTCACTAAAAAATCTCCAATTTCGTTTTCCTCTTTCACATTAAAAACGCCAGTTGATAGTGTCATGTTGCTAGTTAAGCTGAGGAGGACGGTTTAAGCAAACTGTTTAATAAATACATACGGGATCAAAGCGGCAGCTATGGCGAATGCTCGTCAGTTCCAAACGCAACAGCGCGTGCCACCTTCTGCGAGCGTGCTCAGTGGATGTCCTCTTCTTCTAAGATCAGAAAGCCTCATGACATCATAACATGCCCCCCTTCTTCTTTTCTTTTTTTTGAAGATAACGCAGTGCGATCGCAGCACTTGTCAGTCTCTGTATCATAGCGGCTTCACCACAACGCGTCGACTTCTTGTTTTTTTGGTTATCCTGTTGACCTTGTAGACGTGGAAATGTGTTCAAGTGATTCGCCATTTGGAACTGTATGGACATAGTCTTCAGCAGCTTCGTTTGAGACTGTAGGGAAATAGTTTTCAGCAGCTGTATTCGTTTCTGCTGTTCCATGTGCTTCTTTGGTGTGGTGTCTATGATGATGTTATGAGGCTTTCTGATCTTAGAAGAAGAGGACATCCAGTGAGCACGCTCGCAGAAGGTGGCACGCGCTGTTGCGTTTGGAACTGACGAGCATTCGCCATAGCTGCCGCTTTGATCCCGTATGTATTTATTAAACAGTTTGCTTAAACCGTCCTCCTCAGCTTAACTAGCAACATAACATGGTGTCAGAAGTGGTGAGCAGCTCAACGTCTGTATTTTTCATTTAACAAGCAACAGCAGCAACAATATGGCATCTGCTTTCCTACAACCGCCGGCTCCGTTCCATCCTGGTGACGACCCAGCAAGAGCATGGGAGGAGTGGAAGTCATCGTACCTTATCTTCGAGGCAGCCTGTGAAAATGGATCGAAGCCTATCGCAACTCGGAAAGCTTTTCTGCTCCACTGCCTTGGATCTCAGGCAAGACGAATTACGCAAACCTTTTCTCTGCAACCAACAGGAGATGGTCAAAGCGGGCAAAGAGAGAATGCAGTAGATTACATACTGCACGAATTTGATAAACTGTATGCACCTTACAAAACCGTGACACAAGCGACAGCCATTTTTAACACAATGTGCCAAAAGCCAGAACAAACCATTGACGAATTTGTAACTGAGCTAAAACTGCAGGCTCAGAAATGCGACTACGAAGCTCAAGAAAACAGGCTCATCTGTGATCGTATCATCATTGGGATACGAGACGTGGCTTTGCGCGAACGGTTGCTTCGTGAACCGAGTCTAACCCTAGACAAAATCATTTCAACCTGTAAAGCAGCTGAAATCTAAAAAAAAAACAAAAAAAAAAACACGTGAATGATATTCAGAAAACTGAAGACGAAGTTAGAGTTGATGGACTCTATTATCGTCAGCCATCTAGCTTCAGAGCAGCGCAACGAAGTTACCGACCATCCGGACCACAAAAAGACCAATCCAGCAACCGACAGCAAATTTCATGTTCGAGATGTGGTTCTTACCATCAACCCCGAAACTGCCCAGCTAACGGAAAGCACTGCCTTTCGTGTGGAAATTATGGACATTTTTCCGAATGTGCAACCAGACACAGCAGAAAACCTACGGATATCGATGTGTTTCTGCAGTAGAAGAAACTTCCAACTCATCCATGAACAATGACCGCAATGAAACGATCCATTTGGGAGGCATAACAGTTGGGCCTCTTCCATTAACCAAAGCCACCAAGTTTGCGCAAACTGGGACAGAGCTGGAGAGGCAGTCAAAGAAAAAAAAGGGCATGCTGGCATCTCGCCCCGAAGAGGGACAAGGCCTGATTTCAGAGTTGGTGTTGGCAACGGCAGAAATGCAGCGAATGTCTTTGGAGCACGAGAGAAATATCGAAGCGAGCTTTGGCCGTGAGCAGGCCCTTCAACGCGAGTGCAAGGCAGCTTCGGCTCTCCTGGGGAAGATGCAAGCGCAGCAAGCAGAATTTTCTCATGCCAAGTATCAGGAGTCTGAAGCATTGAAAGCCCAGTTAGTTTCTCTAAGTGAGGATTTGTCAAAGCAGCTGGAGCTTGTAGATGCCAAGGTGGAGGAAGCGAACACCCTGAAGGAGAAGTTTGAAGCATCTCAGCTTGAGCTCGAAAGGTTTTCTGCCGAGTACTGCATCTTGCAGGATGTCCTCTTCTTCTAAGATCAGAAAGCCTCATGACATCATAACAGATAGTAGCGCTTTGTCCCCCCCCCCCCCCCCCCCCCGTCCTGTCCTGTTCTTCTACTTTTGCATGTCTTTTGCGCTCTTGTCCTCTATTAAATGCGCAACGCGTTACTGGTTATTTCTACTTAGTTTCTTTTTTCCGGTAAAAAGTAGCGTACTTACTTACTCTTTTAACAAGAGAACGAGTAACGTACTTAAGTTACTCTTAAGGCCAAGTAACGAGGAAGGGCATTTTGTTACTTTTGAGGAGTGGCGTGTACAACTCCGTTAAAACAGCCGTGTTTTATTTCTAACCTGAGCCTATCAATTGCGACAAGGGCAGTTAGGCAATACGAAAAACAACTAAACAATAGGAGAGTGTAGCAACGCTTATTGCTGAACACGTCCGTCGAAGTCTTCAGCTGGGAATGCCCTTCACCCAGCGAACACAATATAAGGTTCGTTGGTTTAACCTTGTACAATCGTGTACATGTACATACCGAATGCAAACCCGGAGGTTGCCAACACGGGAAGGCACCGAACCCAATGTCTACCTCGAACTAGAAGTAGAGAGAACCGAAGAGAGAGGAGAATCCCAGATTTATTTCTTTATCCTCAAGCGCAACCCTGCCGCTCTTTTGAGCGCGTTAGTAAAACGACTCTTCAGCGTCGCCGGATATGTATTTTCATGGAAGCGGGGAAACATAACTGATGAAAACTTGGAGAGGCAGCTGCTGTTTAAAGGGGCGGTGTAACTATAATCAATTAGAATGCTTTTCACTTCACACAAGCTTACTGGCACTAGTGGGACTCATTGATACTCGTACGCAACCCCGCTGGCCAAGAAACTCCTTTGTTAAGATGTAATTTTAAGGACAAAAGCGAACGTTTTCATTCAACATCTCCTTCGAGAAACTTTATGATGTTACTGGAGGATCCTAGTATCCTCCTGTTACGATATTGGAATGTTTGAATGAATAGATTGCACCCGAGCATTGCGTGGACACTCGATTTGGTCTCGTGATAATCGATAGCTCGATAAGCATTAAGGTTACGTCACAGTGCACTGGCGGGAACTTTGAATTAAGCCTCGTATTTCTATTTTTTATAAAAAAAAAAACAAAAAAACTACGCACCTCTATAATGAAACATTTTTT